ATTATGAAATGTCAGCATCTTGATTATTTTATTATTCTCTCTACAAATTACATATCCTATCATTTTAGTTGTTTTAATAATTTTGCCGATGCATTACTTATTAGGCTGGTGCATAATTATCAGGCGTTTTATAAACAATATTTATTATGAAAAAAGAAACATAACAATTCAAAAATAACATTTTTAAATGATTCCGGAGCGTATGATTATCGACATGCATTTTTATAACCTGAAAATAAAATAATATTTTTTTATTAAAAAAGGAAACAAAACAGCAATGTTTACTAACAAATAACACACCTCCAAAAACGCCTGATAATTTTGCACCAACTCAATATCTGTTCTGTATATTTCTAAAGGTAATATTAATGTTAGTAGTTTCCTTATAAAGAAACATTTGATATTCACTAACCGAACAGCCAATGCTAGTTTTGATTGGAATTTATAAAAAATCTTTCGATGAAGATAATTAAAAAAAAACAGTTTTTTAGGACCACTATTATAAATCTTTCCAGTATTGATGGGGTTTCCTTCTTGGCTTTAATAAAATTATGAAATGTCAGCATCTTGATTATGTTATTATTCTCTCTACAAATTACATGTCCTATCATTTTAGTTGTTTTAGTAACTTTGCTGATGCATTACTTATTAGGCTGGTGCATAATTATCAGGCGTTTTTTAAACAATATTTATTACGAAAAAAGAAACATAATTCAACAATAACATTTCTAAGTGGTTATTCTGGAGCGTAGGATTATCACATTATCGTTATTTGATTATAACAAATAACTCGCCTACAAAAAACGCCTGATAATTATGCACCAACCCAAATACTAGAGGCTATGATATACGTTTATGTTGTAGTTTTGTTGAGGTTATATTTTGGAATACAGATTCATTTCGTTAAGAAATTATCAGATCTATGGACTAATGTCATGAAAGGGGGGCTTTCATGTTAATAATGTAATTTTACAATGAATAACTATCGTTAGTAATTTATTTAATTTAGTAACTGGTGGTATTTTTACTATAAAAATGTATTTTTATACTTTCATAGTGTTCACTATTTGCCTATAGCTGGGACCCTAACAGGTGCTACCATCCTGGGTCAAGGTGGACCTGTGTACAACAGCAATGAAGAGGTGGTTACATGCTTCTCAAAAGCTCCAATCTCCTGATCAGAGGCCTTGCTGGCGGATGTAGTTTATCGTCATACCCAGGACAGGTTGAGGAGGAAATGATACTAGCTTAATCATCTCACTCTTACTCAAGATCATGATGCGTAATAGTAATCCGGTTTAGCGTTCAGAAGTAAGATATATGTCGTAGATCTGAATATAATATAGCATGTAATATGACATATTATATACAAGGTAGATGAAAAGATGCGCATTATTTAAAATTGTTAATAAACTTATAACATATAAACTAACTAGCTTAAAAGCCTTCCATATCAGGTGGCATTTAAGCTAGCTTCTACGGAGGACATTTGATTGGATCTTCATCACAATAGGTAGGGAGGAGAAGATGAGATAGGCAATAATAAACTAAAGAAGAACTCAGAATTGATCGCTGCATTTAAGTATTGCATTAACATTTAAGTTTACCTTTTAAAAGTTCAACGATAGTTCTTCTGCCCCCACTTAATTTAAAGACAATTTGATGTACGTAGGTCCTTACTTTCCGTACAATTTTATTTAATGGATGACTTTCGCTGGATTTCGCAATTAATTTCGAGTATTTACAAATTTATTTCCAAGTTATAAAAATTGTTATCGTACGAAAAATACAAAAAAAAAAAAGAAAAAAAAAACGAAAACAATTGCAGTAATGAAAATTTGGGAATCCAACATCTTAGGATTGCGGGTCAGGATACATCCCGGAATGTTTTTAATTTGCTCACAGAGTCGGTCTGATTCCAAAATGGTATGACATGTTTAGCTACGAGGGATTAAAGTTGAAAATACGGACCATTTTATTTTGAAACACTTTAATTTGAGAACAGTAATTTTTTCATTTGAACATGAGCTACTGAACGCTAGGGAGTTGTGTCCCTTTAAGTTAAAAATGTGTGTTACAGTGACACAATAACATTCGCATTTATTATATAGATAAAACATGTTTCATTTTGGACAGTATAATGATAGAAGATAGTCTCTTCCCCCGATCCCGTACTCATTACCTTGGAATGACAATTTCTGATGGTTTGGGCGTCTGCTGAAACACGGGGTCCATAAACACAGCGACATTATCTCTACACTTGCACTACTGCCTGCTACACTTCGTAACAAGATGCTTGTTGATAATCCTCATTCAGCGTCAGGCGTTGGACCATTATGGTCTACACTTGTCACTCTGAAATCAAAACAAAAATTAGCAATGAAATTCTACCACTTTAGGGATCACAATCTATTTTATTTTTTTAATCGTTTCACCCCAAGCAAGGCGGGAAGCCACTAGCACGCAAGGGGTTACAGAGAGTTGGAGCGTGAGCAAATATGAGTGATAGAGTAGAGAAGGATAGGGGGATAGATCAGAGCATCTGGAGACGTCGATTGACATTACATTTGAATAGTTGATTATAGCTATCAGGTAAACAGGAAGAGGGGGGAGTTCCACAGGCAAGAAGTGCGAGACATGAAACTATTGGCCTAGAAGGCATCGCTACAATGTGGTGATGTTAACAAATGTTATAAATAATTTTCAATAGGAAGATACTTTCCACCCACCTTGTATTATTATTAATTAAAATACATCTTAGTAATTCTCAACCTGTCTAAAAGACATTATATTAACTTACCTCAAGTAACTGCATATTCATGGAATGAATTTTCGTTTTCGGAACAATCTGGGATGATTTATATCTGGACATTATCTTTGATTACTCCAACAATAATTTTCCATCATACAAGTATGGCACCGAACTTGATACCTTTCCTTCTAAAACTTAATATCTTGTGTAAGCATTCGCCATGCTCGCCGCTTACGTTAAAGAGCCCAAACCCTCGTTCACGATGACGTATTGCTTTGATATATAAATGTTTTTTTAACTTGTTTTCATCACAAAGACTTGCTAAATTCGACATATGGATTTCATACCATCGGTCACGATGACTGATAACTTTTTGCTAGCACAACCATTATAAAAGGTTTTGTTAACCCATTTTCAATTACAAAGCTTGGATCAATTCGTAATATGGATTTCATTTCATATTGTGCTAGTGTAACCATCGAACTGTCTGAGTCAATTCGTTTATAGTTTTCAAATTCCTAACATTGGAATCGTCTCCTCCAAGCCAATATGAAGACGACACTTAAGTTCGACCATGATGAGATTTCCCGGTCTTGTAATCAAAACGGTTTTTAAGCACTAAGCGCTTGTAGATAGCGGGGGGGCCAACAAGATGGCTGTTTATGAAATTAATCATTTTATGACACCTCAAAAGCCGAAAATATCCACGCAGTATTTCGACCAGATGTCTGTAATCTACAAACTTTGTAAAAGACTTTTCATCAGACGCAAAGGATTCCTTTTACGTTTTTTTCTTCCTGTCAGTCATTGACTTTGTAAAATTTAATTTATTTTTGGATTGACAGTCCATGAAATTGTTATTTTTTATAACTTTGGCCATAAAACGCTGAACATATGTCCTTGAGAGAGATTATTTTCTTTATGTTAAGAATTTTCACTAAGTGATTCAAAAGGTCTAGTCAGATCTGAAAGGGAAAATGTAAAAAAGAGAAATGTTTACAACTTAGATCTCTTGAAAAGTGTATAGTTTAAGTATTTTCTTAAAAGAAAGAATTGTCTCGGAAGTGGTGCTTACTCTGAAGACAAATCTGACAACCGCTTTTCTAAAATAGATTTTTACATGTCTGATCATTCGTAACAAAATTCGCCAACGGTTTATTTTACCCGAAATGAGTAAGACCCCTCAGGCAAGCAAATGTCATAAGTTTTCTTTATCAACCAGAAGAGGTTAGCGTTTACAGTTTCCGGGTGAGAGCGCATATTTTAACGTGATCAATACATTTGCACAAGTACAGTACTCTCCTACCCTCTGCAGCGATGGCTTATGGTTTCGGGAGAGCACAAATATTTCGATAGTTTTCCATTCGTGATAAGTGTTACATACCCTCGGCCACATGAAAACACAACCATCGATACTTTTAAATAAATAAATTAAATGCAACGATCAATTTTGAGTCCCTCTGCAGTTTACTGTTGCCTATCCCAGTTTCCCTCCGCGGAGTTAAAATGCCGCCCGATAGAGCGGCATTTATATATATATATATATATATATATATATATATATATATATATATATATATATATATATATTAAAGATTTTATGTTTATTAACATGTTTATGTTTATTAAAGATTTTATGTTTTTATGTTATAGAGATATAATAATAAACAGTATTAAATAGAATGTCCGAAAAATATTCGTCCTTTGACAGGATTCGAACCTGCATTCTATACGGAACCGGAAGCACGTGCCTTGATAAGGATCGTTCGGTTGGCAAGGTTGAATTTATATAAACTTCAATCTTCCATATATAAACATAAAAAATGTCAATAAATAAATTGTCGGACTTGTCCATTTCTTAATATATATATATATATATATATATATATATATATAAATATATATATATATAGATAGATAGATAGATAGAATAATTAGTGGTAAATATACCATGGAAAATATATAAATATTATACATACATGCATACACATTTTATTTTGAATAAAAAAAATTCAAGAGGATAGAATCACACATGGAATATTAGTGTTTAAGCCTTTTTATCATATATATATATATATATGCGTATGAATGTTGATCAATAACTCTATATTTCGATTTGAAATATTCATTGCATTTTGTTTGTTCTACGGATTTCGTATTCACCACATGATTTCTGTGCAACTGAAAGAAGATGACGAGAAGATTATGTTGAAAAATATTTATTCACTGCGTGAAACAAAAGCTTTTCTCAATGATCAGTTTCAGCGTTGATGAACCAACATAGATAGATAGATAGATAGATAGATAGATAGTTTGAACAGATCGTTGATGATACCAATAGATAGATAGATAGATAGATAGATAGATAGATAGATAGATATGATGTCTTGATAGATAGATGGCAAAGATAGATAATTTTTGTTAGATGGCAAATTTTCAAATTCACCAATCGTAACGTTAGACACAAATATCTATACTGAACAGAAGGTAAAAATAAATTCTCTATTGAGAAAATATATGTTCAGCAGATTGACTAGTTATCTTGTGAAGGTTATTGTGTCTTTTAATCTCCAAGAATAAGAAAAATATCCTAGAAGAGAAGAATATGGCAAATAATACTGATGGAATATAGAAAAAGAAGGTTCAAGAATAGAAAAGAAAAACAGGGTCAGCAACAGCTCGGTAGATGAAGATAAAGAGACGTAAAGAAGAAGAAGAAGAAAGGATAAAGAAAACGAGAAAAAGGATAAAGAAAATGAAGAAGAAGAAAAGGATAAAGAAGAAGAAGAAGAAGAAGAAGAAGAAGAAGAAGAAATGCCAACAATAAAATGAGTGTCCACGAATAAGTATCTATTTGGACGTGCAAAGTAAGAAAATGGACTTGCGCGTCTGAATTTCACTTTATTAATGGAGTCAAGATTTCCCCGTGAAGTCCATCTTGTTTAGCTGAGGTCTTAAAGAAACAGATGAAAGGACAGAAGGCGAAAAAGAAAAAAGTAAATTAGTGCCTTTGATGTCGAGTGAATGGCAATGCAAAAAATGGACGGTCTTTGATGGCGAGAAGTCTTTTCAGTTACGGCTCATTTAGCTATGCTTTTGATGGCTACACCTGAGACTCAATACCAACAGGTCATGTGCGTGACACCCTCTTTGTATACAATTTACAAGCACATGTAGACGCAAATACACATACAGACACACACACACATACATAAACACACATATACATTAAAATGTGTTTAAAATATCTATAATAAGTATAAAATATTCGTAATGTCTAGAAAATAAGTAATGTATGAGTTTTCTGGTGTTGTTCTACACATAATGTTGCACAATGATTTTCCAAGCGTAGCTTAGATGTGGCACAAGGCCAAAAGTATGGGACACCCAGTGAATATCGAGCTCCCATAATGTTGCATAGGGGTGTTAATGTAGGATTATACAAACATATCAATAGTAAACATATCAATAGTAAACATATCAATAATAAACACATCAATAATGAACATATCAATAATAAACACATCAATAATAAACATATCTATAGTAAACATATCAATAATAAACATCAATAATAAACATATCTATAGTAAACATATCTATAATAAACATATCTATAGTAAACATATCAATAATAAACATATCAATAATAAACAAATCTATAGTAAACATATCATATAATAAACATATCAATAATAAACATATCGATAATAAATATATCAATAATAAACATATCTATAGTAAACATATCAATAGTACAATATCAATAATAGACATAACTATAATAAACATATCAATAGTAAACATATCAATAATAAACATATTAATCCCTCAAATGTTCAAACTGTTTACCTCCGTAATTCAAACACCCCTCTTTACTTGCAAAACATGTGTTTATTTGTTACAAATAAAAATTATGAAAATAAAAATGTTTAAGAATTAAATGAATTCTAGTATTCCATGCTTAGAATATTGCTGCCACATATGGTCCGGTACCCCCTGAGCTCCTTGATAAAATCCAAAGAAAATTCTGCAATATTATCGGTCCTAATCCGGCAGCTCGTCTTCAGTCACTTTCCCTCCGCCGTAAAGTTGCCTTTCAGTTTTACTTTCTATAAATTCATCCATGATAATTGTTCGGGTGAGCTCTTGGCTATGGTACTCGAGTGAATTTAAGCGCAGTTCTAGACTGACATTGGAATCTCATCAATTTACAGTTGAGCTGGCAGAGGATGTAACCGTGAATTCTATGCAATTAGTTTCTTTTCTCGCAATTCTGACTTGTGGATCACCCTTCTGGCTCCATGCTTTCCACTCAACTTTGATCTGCAAAAATTCAAATGCAATGTCAATCGCTATCTACTGTCCTTCTGATTACTCTTTTCTCTTCCCGCTCATTATTAATGTTTCTGTTCCTAACTCTTCCACACCCAGTAACCAATTGTGTCTTAGTGGCTTTACTGCCTTGCATGGGGTCAAACCCATTAAAAAAATAATTGAATCCTAGAACAACTTTAATAATACTGGTGTAATACTTTCTGTATACCTACTATTACAGCCACCTGTATAAGATACGGTTCTAGGAACATTCGCCATAAACATTTTTGCCGTAGGAAAACTCACCTCAGGAATTTTTCCGTATAGAATTTTTGCCGTAAGAAAATTTCGCCTCATATTTTTGTTAATACATGATGTACCTTGTTACCAAGTATTATCTGGCTCACACTATTGTTACTTCGATTTAGACATTTTAATAAGCGAAGTTATAGGATCGAAATCCTAACATTATTCATCCTTGTCAATGAGGAGCGCAAATATTTCAACTTGACACCAGAACCTACGTCATGCAATTTCATATTTCAGACTTAACGTCAAACCTTCTGTTAACATAATATCAGTCCGCCAACAATTCCCACTCAAGCAATATATATTATTTCAAACAAACTTACAACTTGAATACGCAAACAACTTCAATATAAAATATCTGATCAAGGAAAGATAACCCTTTTAAATTCTCAGTAAGTCTTTTGATATTTACACAAATTATTTGCAAACATAAACTGTTTTAAATTCACTATAAATAACTATATATTGAAATATACGAAAAAGAAATGCTGCGAAATTGTCTTTAGGCAAAAATCCTATACGACAAAGTTTCCTACGGCGAGTTTTCCTATAGTAAAAATGTTTACAGCGAATGTTACGGATACTCAAATTAAGGAGTATAATTTGAAACGATACAGAATTTAAAAAAAAAAAAGCACCATTCCGACGTCACAGTTATCTCACTTTAATTTTCTACATTTGGATTTTTACGTAAAGTGAACCGTTCCATGAACTGAAGATTCGCGGTAACGCTTTCGGCGAAGCCAGTTTTCGGACAAATGGCATTTACTATTACGAAGCGGATACACACGAAGATAGACACATTAAGCAACTAATTACTTCGATTTAAACATTTTAATAAACGAAGTTATAGGATCATAATACTACATTATTCATCCTCGTCAGTGACAAACGCAAAAATTTCAAATTGACACCAGAACCAACGTCACGCAATTTCATATTTCAAACTTAACGTTAAACTTTCTGTTTACATAATATCAGTCCGCCAATAATTCTCAGTCAAGCAATATATTTACATTTCAAAAAAGATTACAACTTGAATACGTAACCAACTTTTTAAAATAATTGTTTAATCTTTAATTTCTTTTCTGATGTTTGACCCTATAAAAAGACATCCATATATACTTGATAACAAGTATATATTGATATACTTATCCATATATACTTGTTAAATTAAATTGAATATTAAATTGAACATTACTCTAAAAGGGATCGTCAAGATAAGAGCATCGAAAAAAAAACGGCGAAATTGTTTTATGGCAGAAATCCTATACGGCGAATTTTCTTACGGCGAAACTATTTACGGCGAATGTTCCGGATATACTATAAGATACACTTGTAATGTTTAGTTTTAAAAAATTAGGGTATAGCTAACAAAGGTTGAGGTACTTACAACGTGAAGTTCGGGATAATAACCGAGATAAAATTCTTGACACGATGAAAAGGATATAAAAACAATGCCACGGTGTGTCGCAGAATATAGGACATTGCACTTTGAGAATCGGAACGAATGCAGGCAGGCAAAAGAGGAATGGGTCAACGAAAAGTGTGCAGAAATAGAAAGAATGAGTATCACAGATAAAGCAGATATGCATAAAAAAAACACAAGAGAATTAAAAAGACGAAAGACACGTTCATAAACAAGATGCTTAAAATCCAAGGATGGGACACTGATATTAGAAAAAGTAAAATATTTCAGAGATTAAACGAATGCATCGGAGAATTATTCTACGACGAAAAAGTACGGTCGGCACAGAAATTTGTAAATTAAATAAAAAAATTACCAACAATACCTATTTATAGTAAAATGACCAACAATACATTTTATACCAAAATGACCAGCAATATATTTTATCTGTAGTTGAATGCATACATTTGCATTCAAAATATATTTAGTCGAGACCATGAGATTAATTACAAAATATTTAGATTTCGGCATTAAATTACACATACAGGTTGATATGCTGCTAAACAAAATCAACCAATTCCTAATCTATAAAATCTTTTGATGGGTACTGATTTTGAAATTGTTAAACCCTTAATGACGTCAAATAAAACCTACTTTAACATGTTTAAATTCTCAAGACCCTCAATTCTTCCAGAATGCAATATTTTTTTTGCATATCTTTTCTTTAAGTGTTTATGTACAAGAATGCACTTTTCAGTTCGCCCTGCGTTTGCGATAACTATAAACAAATTACAAAGAAGCGCTTCAAAAAGTTGGAATTTGATTCCAGAAAAATATTTACACATGGCCAGTTGTATGTTGCCTGCTCAAGAGTAAGAAATCTTAAGAATGTATTTTTCGCTGTTAAAAAAGTAAAAGAAAAAAAATGAATTTCCTTAAAAAGATTTTCTTTACTGTTAAGTTGTATAAAATTAAATTTAATTAAAGAAATTATTAAACCGTGATATAGGATTTGTGTCAAAGTTTTTTGGGGTTTTTTTGTTTTTTCCCACAAACGAATCCGCTTATTGTAATTTCATCGATGGTTGAACGAAACGCAGACTTTGTAAATCTCGACAAAAAATGTTGGCGATAATTTTAACAATACTAAATACTGTGACGATTTCAACGTGTATTAACTTATTGCAAAAAAAAATTCAGGTACTTAAAATGTTTGCTTTTAATTTCATTTTTCCACGAACGTTTTGAATGCGTTTCGCATTTTTCATATGAATATATCCTGACATTTTAAACCAATATCCGTTGTTTCTTGCGAATTTTACTGTGAAAACATTAATTTGCATAATCGAATCCTTCATAGTGTAATTGTTATATTTTATGTTTTGTTTTGTTTGTTTTTTTTTTTGTTTTTTGTTTTTCAATTTCTCCCTTTTCCAGTTCTGTTTTCAGTTTTTAAAAATAAAACACGGTAAACCCTATCGTTTACGCTTTTGACATATACCAGTTTATGTTATAACAGACAGAAAAATAATCAGTCTTTGACGAGTGTCAATTTCATCCAACTTGAATATGCATAGAACTGTCATATTAAACCGAACACAAAAAGTTTATTGTGATATTTGATAAATATGTAATTGATGAAACTCAATAGCAAAACTTCTTATTCTTTCTTCTGACTGTTTACCCAACCCAGGCATATTTTTTTCTCTCTAATTTCGCACAGCAAGTTCCCCAGGTAATATAAGCATAGCGTTAGGTTCACTGGCACACGCACGACTGACACTTTAGTATACACACCTGGTTATAAATGGCAATAAATTGTCTATAAAATTTTATAGGTTTTTATTAACTCTGTCTCCATACATTTCATATTTTAATAGGTATTTTTATTCTCGTCGTCTCCTTTCGGGGCGAAAAAAATTTAAGGCCATATTTGACAGCGTTGTTCGGCTGTCAAAAACTATGATGTTAACGAAAATAAGAGGTTGATAGGAAAATGGTTAACAAAGAAGGTGTAATGGATGAAAGGACAAAGAAGGAAGAGGAGAACTGGATAAAGCTAGATAAAGAAGGGTGTAGGAAAATTAGATGTAAGTGAAAAAAAAGCAGAACTACATGAGAATGGAGGAAGGAGGAGAGTAAATGAGAGTGGAGGAAGGGGGAGAGTAAATGAGAGTGGAGGACGGAGGAAAGTAAATGAGACTGGAAGAAGGAGAAGATTAAATGAGAGTTGAGGAAAGAGGAGACTAAACGAGAGTAGAGGAAGGCGGAGAGTAAATGAGAGTTGAAGGAGGAGGAGACTAAAGGAGAGTGGAGGAAGGAGGAGAATAAATTAGTGTAAAGGAAGGATGGAAATAAATGATAGTTGAGGAAGGAGAACTAGATGAGAATGGTGCAAAAGGAGAGTAGATAAGAGTGGGTAAAGGAGAGTGGATGAGAGTAGAGGAAGGAGGAGAGTAAATAAGAGTAGGAGAATAAGGAGAGTAGATGAGAGTAGAGGAAGGAGGAGAGTAAATAAGAGTAGGAGAATAAGGAGAGTAGATGAGAGTGGAGCAAGAAGAAAGCTATACGACAGTGGAGGGAGGAGAAGAGTAGATAAAAGTTGAGGAAGGAGGGGGGTATATGAGATTGAAGGGAGAAGGAAACTAGATGAGAGTGAAGAAAGAACAATTTGAGATAGTGATTTGTATTTTACGGTTTATCAACCTTTTACGAATTATTTAAAGTCAGAAAATAATTTTAGATTATAAGGATTTTTTCGGGATAATAATGATTTATACTGATACAAATTCTACAAATTAACCCATAGCTGGTGGAGTGATGAGTTGGATTTAAACCTTTCCCTTGTGTATGTGACATGGTGGGTCTCAGGTTTAAACGCTAGGGGTGATGTGACTTAGGAATATATCTATTCAGATCACGTACCATGGAAATAGCGATAAAACAGCGAGAGGCTCGCAACATTTTATCTATGGGAAAGGAATTTGTAGGGCGGAAAAATAGTTAATCACCCACAAGGCCGCGTAGAGACTTTTGAACGATATCAAGGTATACGAGTGGAGATTGGGCAACTCCAGCCCAGATTTGGCAGCAGTACTCCATTTCCGGTCCTGATCTGGCTCTTGTAGAAGATAAGTGGGTTTGGGATCTAAAGTTGAATTTTTGTCCTTAACATGCAAAAATCTTGTTACATCTTGCAAATCTATGATCGTCCACTTTTTTTTATATATCTTATTGCGAGATCTCATTTTGCAAAGACTTCATATTGCAAAATGCCAGCAGGAAAAGTTTCGGCTTTTGGATAAGGGATTTTTCCTTCATTAACCTAGTTTCCCCACTCTTTCTCCGCTAGATTATCATTTTTCAGATCTTTACAGTATTTTAGGGACGGTAAGCCGTAAACCAATTACGAAAGAGGTTTAAAAAGTACTTGTGCAGAATTCAAAATAATCTAATTTAATGTTCAAGGTATTAACAACTTCCTTGTTAGACGGGATTGTCATCGGAAATGAAGGAAAAAATTACTTTCATTAAATTTATAACTGATAATTAAATATAAGTCAATTATAAGGCTCAAGAAAAAAAAAAGTAACAAGATAATTTTTCAACGTAATATAGCTATTTACTAAGCTTAATTTAGTCTAACACCAAACCACACGGTTTCATGCATTTGACGGGGAGCGAACTAAAGGAACTCGCGAATTGATTTTCAGGACAATTTTGTAAATCATCACGACACTCATTTAAGAGTGCCCACTGACTTTATCAATACTCCCCGTCGCCCGCTTTAGTTTTAGTTATTTTGTTCATTCGTCATCATCTTCGTTAGTTCTGTTGTTGATGTTTTGGTGATACCTTATCTGAATGTTATTCATATATATATATATATATATATATATATATATATATATATATAGGGTTAAAAGGGGCATCATCAGAAAACAGCCGGATTACAATATAAAAAACAAAATCTTGCATGAAATGCAACTTAATAAGCATAGAAATAAAATCGATGAATTGCTTTAGTATAGATTTCAGAGAAATGACCGAATATTTTAAAGAACATATTTGCACAAAAATCTTTAAAAAAATTGCTTATCCGTTGGTAGCAGCATGTTTTCCCAAGACTGTACAGAACGTCTGCTTTCTTCGGCGGTTGAAAAATAAAGTCTTGATTTGTGATCCTTTGGCGGTAAAACGCTTGTTCTAATGCATCATGGGAGTATTCTATATTTTATTTAACTTCTTTTTTTTATAATCTAACTTTATCTTACTTTATTGCTAATTATCATTCTTATCTGTGTTTTAAAGATTTTTTTTATTGTTTAACTTTTAACTTTTCTTTTATTATTAATTATTTTCATTCCATACTACTACATAGTCTAGTAATAGTGGTCCAAGTCTATAGTAAATATAGAGAAAGATTGATGAGAGGTAACACGTTTTTCAGTTTATGAATTCAGGTTTGTTTCAGTTCGTTTTGTCACTTATCCGGTGAGTTGTGAATTAAAAATAAGGAAGAAAAAGATTGTTAATGATACTCAATTAACGTAAGCCTTAGGAACAGAATAGATTCAAAATCAGTTTCGCAGGCTTATCTTGCAACTAAGCATCTGACTAGATTCGCCCACATATCTCGGGTGCGTGACAATATTTGGGTTGACATTTGGTGAGGTATTCATTCACGTATTCCATGTCTTGAGTAGGAAGATCTGGCAGATCCCATCCATATACAAGCCATACCTCAGCCGATGTCGTCTGACCTAGAGTCTCTCCTTGTTCCCGGACACGTATGCATTGAACCCTCCGCCTTGGACGTTGATTTCATTTGATATAGTATGTAAGTGTCTTGCTAAGGGGTTTACTATAGAAAGCATTGAATGTAATTTTACATTAGTAAAACATTGTAGTAGTTTTTATAATAAAAATTTATTGGAAATCAGAAAATAAGTGATTGTCAGTTGTAAAAGCATTAGTGTCAACAGATTTATTCTTGCATATAATGTAAATGATTTTACTATAGTAAAACAATGAATGTAATTTTATATTAGTAATGCATTGCAGTAAATTTATTTATAGAAATGCATTGATGATCAGGAAGAAAAAAGATTGTCTGTGGTAAAACTATTAATGACAGGATAAATTCATTTTTATATATAATGTGTCTTGCTAAGGGTTTTGCTATAACAAAACAATGAATGTAATTTTATATTAGTAATGCATTGTAGTATATTTTATTCAAACAGGTTTGGTTAAATAATTTAGACATATCATGTAGATTTATTTTGGTTGTAATCCTTTCAAGTTCACGGATACATTTCTTGGTAGCCTTAGAAAATTGATTAAGAAAAATACCAAAATGTTCTTTCAAATATTTTTTTTTTCCCCAAATAATATCAATCTCATCTGAAAACATCTTCAGGGGGTTGTTTGTGAGTATGCATAAGTATTTCTGTGAATTCAAAATATTTCAACTGTTCGTTTATACTGCTTATGCAGCTTCTAGATTTCAAAGTTCAAAGTTCACATGTTTTTTTGTTTTGTTTTTTTAGGGGTGTCCAGTATAAGGGAAGTAACTTTTCCATTTTTGCTCATATATGTATAATTTTTTTTTCTATAAGCATTTAAGGAACTTGTTGCTGTACTCATAGTTGCCTTTATTTATTCTAATTCTCTTATAAGGCTTTAAGGATTTTTACTTTTTGATTATTATTATTTTTATGCAATATATATGTATTTTCAACTAATATCCGTCTAATCTGTGAGAGTGGAGATGAGTGTTCCTTTAAATGCTGAAATATTGAACTATGCTCAGCCAAATGAAATGTAAGCCTTTTTTGTTAGCATTGTCGTAGTATATATTATAGTTGTTGCATTGAAAAATCAAGAAGATAAAACGTTGTCAGTGGTAAAAGGATAGCGTTGTTATACGCACTCATCTAGTTATGCCTAAAATAGCAGGGAAAACCTATTTTAAAAAGTGGCTCTAGCTTCTTCAACGTCACTTGTACGTATTATAAATGTTCTCACTTCCTCTTCACCGTTTCCTTCGATTTAATATTTTGAAAGACACAATGCAAAGTATTTTCACTAGGATCAATGGCAAAAAACCATACAACAATATCTTGCCATTTAAAATTAATTACTTCTCGTATGGCAGGCCGTTTTTGCAAATGTATCTTCCTTTGGACTCCCTATCTAGATCAAATTTGGATGTGACAGCTTTTTATTACTATCGTTTGGCGCAAAATTTATGCAAAATGAACAGAAGCAAACTTAGCGGAAATTCGAACTCTTTCCACTGATTCCGTTTTCTCTTTTAGTAACCATTAGGCCAACCTACATCACCCTCAGCCACTGTGTGCTTTAAAACATGAACATGCGTAACACCTACGCTTCCAAAACATAAAACTGTTGACTTGCGCTAAAACTATTTATTAAATTCACAAATATGATTTAACAGCGAGAAGAATCATGAAGATGAATAGAAGGTTCTGTTTTCATTTTTCAATTCATTAAAAACTGGGGCTTTATTAAATGGCGAATACTGAACATGATAGAACGACATATAAAAGACGTACGTACTTTTCCTGATGGCCTTTTGGCGCGTTTAACCTTCAAATATTTTTTTTTAATTATTTTCTTTAATATGCTCTGTATTTGCTAACGACGCCTCCAAGTCTCGTAATATCTCGTTGGAACTAATTTGAATCTCGTTAATCTCTTTTTTAGAGACCAACGCCGTATGACTAAAAACTTTGAGACCGGACCTGACTTCTTAGTTTCATTTTCCCTTTCAATTCACGTAATTCTCTCTTTCTCACTCCCCACCTTTTTAAAAACTCTAACTTGCCTTCATTTTACTTCCTCCTTTCTTTTCATCTTTTTTTTTCTTATTTTATTTGTTTTTGTTTTTTGCCATTCAGGAAAGCGTGAGACGCATTTTAGGAAAGGGTGAGTGAACTCCCCTTTCGTTTTGGGGTCGCTGCATACTGAAGCTATCTGCCGCAAAGGGCCACCATTAATCTGTTCACACCAAAACAATCATGGCGCCCGTTTTGACACGCAGTATTAATGAAAACTAACTCATTAATTTATAAACATCTTTTTTTCCTCGTCTTTATCACTTTTCACTGCTATTCCTCTGAGCTTCGTTTCTTAACATTTTTCTCCAAGTTAATCTAATCATTTTTCTTGTGCTTTTATTCGATTTTGTTTTTTGTTTTTTTTTTTTTTTTGTTTTTTAGGGGTTTTTTTTTCTAAGTTCTCGCACGTAATTTTTAATCTCCACCTTGTCTCTTCACCAGTTTTTCTCAGTCCCCCTCCTTCTAGTTCTTTGGTTCTTTATTTTACCTTCTTTCTTTTACTCTCTTCCTATCTCAATTACTGTTTACTTCTTTTTCTATTTTTTTTTTTATCCACAGGCTCTTCCTTCTCTCTTATACTCTTCATTAATTTCTTTCATGCGTCTTATTACTTTCTTTCTTCCTCTGTTTTTCTCAGACACTTTTTCTTCCCATCTTTTGAACCCTTACTCTGATACTCTCTCCTTGTTTTTTTGTTTTGCTTTGTTTTGTTTTGTATTTTTTGCTCTCTTTCTATCTCTCGCTCTCTCTTTCTCTCTTCATTAATACGTTTCTTTCAGCCACTCTTTCTTCCCATGTTTTGCACCTATAGTCTGATTCCGTCTCCTGCCTCTCTCTCTCTGTCTCTCTCTCTCTCTCTCTCTCTCTCTCTCTCGACGTCTTTCCATTTTATTTCTTTTCTGCTTCGAATTCTTCTCCTTCTACTCCTCCCCCTTCTTCTGCCGCTGCTTCTTCTTCTTCTGTTCTTTTCCGAAATGGTAAATATCAGTTATTTTCGATAGCATTATCTGCTTTATTTATTTTTCTTACGTTTTTTTTAACTCTATCTGCATTCTCTCTTTTTCTTTCTTTCTCTCTCACTCCTCTTTTTTCTCTCCCCCCTCTCTCTCTCTCTCTCTCTCTCTCTCTCTCTCTCTTTCTCAGTCTTCTTTTCCCCTCTCTTTTTTCTTGTCTTTCCCTCTACATATATTTTCTTTTACTTTCTCACAGTTCCTCACTCTTTCTGGATCTTTCTCGCCATTTTCCTTCTTGCTTTCCATTCCTTTTGGCTGTTATTGTTTCTTTCTTTCTTTTAGCTTTCTCTCCTTATTTTTTTGTTTATTCTTTATCCCAGTTCTTCTATTTCGCGTTCACCATTTCTTTCTTTCTTTCTTTCTTTCTTTCTTTCTTTCTTTTTGCATTTCTTTACAATTCTTGTAATTTTTTAAAAATATTTTTTCATTAATTTCCTTTTTTTTTTGGCTTCGTTGCAAACTTTCTCTTCTTTCTTTTCATTTCTTTTCCTTTTATTCTTTCTTTTTCATGATTATTCTATCTACTCTAACCAGCCCAACATTCCCTCTTTCTTTCTTTCTTTCTTTCTTTCTTTCCTTCTTTCTTTCTTTCTTAGTTGTCATTTCAGTTACCATTTCTCCATTCTTTTTCTTAATTATTCCTACTATAATCTTCTCTTTCTTTCTATTTTTCTTTCTTTCTTTCGAGTTCTGTTAATTTTATTCATTCATTCTTTCCTTTTCTTACTTATTCCCTTTTACATAATTTGTTCCACTTCTTGCTTTCCTTTTTTGATTTCTGGAAACTTCTTTTTTTTTTTTCCTTTTTTTTCTGTAACCTTTCTCATTTTCCTTTCTTTTTACTTTTCTATAACGTTTTTCTTTTTTCTTTCTTTTCTGTAACCTTTTTCTGTTTTCTTTCTTTTTTCTTTTCTTTTTCCTTTCTTTTTCTTTTCTTTTCTGTAACCTTTTTCATTTTTCTTTCATTTTTCTTTTCTGTACCCTTTTTCTTTTTCCTTTCTTTCTTTTTTCTTTTTCTGTAACCTTTTTCTGTTTCCTTTCTTTTTCTTTTCTTTTCTGTAAACTTTTTTCTTTTCTTTTTTTTCTTTTTGCTTTTCTGTAAACTCTCTCATTTTCCTTTCTTTCTTTTTACTTTCTGTAAGGTTTTTCATTTTTCTTTTTTTTTTTTTTTTCTGTGACCTTTTTCATTTTTCTTTTGTCTTCTCCCGTAACCTTTTTCTCTTTCCTTTCTTTTTCTTTTCTGTAAACTTTTTCATTTTCCTTTCTTTCTTTTTTTTTCTTTTTCTGTAGCCTTTGTCATTTTCCTTTCTTTCTTTTTACGTTTCTGTAAGGTTTTACATTTTTCTTTCTTTTTCTTTTCTGTAAGGTTTTTCATTTTCCTTTCTTTTTTTCTTTCTTTCTTTTTTCTACTTTTGTTATGTTATTCATCCTTTCCTTTTCTCCATTATCCCCTCTTCCTTAATCTGTTCTACCTTTCTCTTTCATTGTTTTCACTTCTGTAACCTTCTATTTTTTTTTCTATACTATTCAATATTCTTTACTTTCCCCCATCTTTCCTTCTTTCCTTACTTAGTCATCTGCTTGATGTTCCGTCTGGCTGTGTGTTTCCCAATTATTCCTCTCCCTTGTTTTCAGGATCAGGACAAAAAAAACAAAACATCAATGTTGATTTTTATGATTACAAAACTTTACCTGCTTAAAATGTTTACTTAATATTCTTCTTTTTGTCATGTGTCTGACCAAGCTATACTTTGTAAATATCTTCTATTTTTCATTTCCATATACTCTTTATACTTATTTGCTAAGTTTTCCTTCCTCTTTCGAAAAGCCACCAGAAATGGGAGACCCAGTAAGAAATGACCTTACTACACTAAGAATGGTCGATGACGTTAGTTACCTCATGAAATGCTATTTTATTGCTAATTACCTCCCTTATATAGGCGAAAGAATGGACAAATGATAAACTACAAGAAGACACAGTGCATGGTCATCAGCAAAAAGATGATCCCAAAATTCAATTTACAGATCGTTGATACTAAAATCAGGCAGGTAGAGAAATTTAAATATCTGCGAAGTGTTCTGACAGAGCACGAAAAATGCGACACTGAGATCCGAAGACATATTGGGATAGCAAAAGATGCCTTCCAAAAGCTAAGCTGAGTATTAAGACATAGGAAAATACTGTTGGAAACAAAGAAAAGAATACTGAACTGTTACGTAATGTTTGCCCTCCTGTATGGCAGCGAATGCTGGACAATCTCCTCAAAGATGAAGAAGACACTCGAAACAACAGAAATGTGGTATTTACAGAAGGAGGCTAAGGATACCATGAACCGAACGTGAACAACGACGAGGTTTTGGGGAGAATGGAAACAAAGATGAAACATACTTAACATCAAAATCAGGCAGCTGAAATATCTGGGACGTGTAATGAGGAAAGAGGGCTTGGAAAATCTGATACTCACAGGACGGATAGAAATAAAGAGGGGCAGCGAAAATCAACGCATGGCATACTTAATGGGCTTGAGCAAGTCGATGGCAGAACAGGGTCTGAGAGAAATAACAAAAAGACAAAACATTAAGAGCTACAAGGAAGACAAGTAGGTAGAGGGCCGTGATCGCCTACACCCTAAAGAGAAACGGCACATAAAAAAGAATAGGCGAAAGCTTATGCGGGGAAGTTTTTAAAATATTAAGCCTAAGCTCCAAGGTGGGGGGGTTCCTTCTCCAAAGCAGTACCTGCTCTTTGAGATGGGCTGGGTTTATTGCCCGGTGCCTGAGGCGTCTCAAAAAGGGGAAGTGCTTGGGCAATTTTTTCACGATATTGCCGTTGAACCCACTTTAAACTAAGCGTTTGTCACATTTGGCAGCAACGTGTAAGCACTGGGGAAAAAAATACCCTCAGCAGCGACAAATGAAATGCGCCCAGTGAGGATCAGAATCACTATTGAAGTGATGGTCGATAAGGCTAGCTACGACTCCGGGGCGAGATGAAATATTTGCTGTTAATATATTAATGAACTGATTCCCTGAATTTCATCACAAATTCTGTCCCAGGTCGTTTTTTTTTTTTTTGTTGAGGTTGTTATTTTTTTTTCTGAGAATCTTTTCTCTCAGTCTCAGTCAGCCTCTCTTTATTATCGTTACGCCCTCCCTGTCTTTTTCTTTCTTTTCCCTAATTTTATTTTCAATTCTTCTTACTTTAATTCTATCTCTTTCTCTTCTTTCTCAATCTCATTTCTTTTCTCTAATTCCTTTCTCCTCTCTTTCTCTCTCTATTTTCTCTCATTCCATCTCTCTTTCTCTCTCTTCTTTCTCTCCTCTTTCTTTCTCTCTTTCTCTCTCTTCTCTCTATTTCTCACTCATCCTCTCTTTTCTCTCTCTCTTTCTCTCTCATTCACACCCTCTTTTTTCTCTCTCTTTCTCTCTCTATTTTTTCTCTCTCTTTCTCTCTATTGCTCTCTCTTTCTCTCTCATTCACTCCCTCTCTTTCTCTCTCTATTTTCTCTCTCTCTTCTCTCTCTCTTTCTCTCTCTTTCTCTCTCATTCACTCCCTCTTTTTTCTCTCTCCTTCTATCTCTATTTTTCTCTCTCTCTCTCTCTTTCTCTCTCATTTACTCCCTCTGTTTTTCTCTCTCTTTCTCTCTCTTTTTCTCATTCACTCCCTCTTTTTTCTCTCTCCTTCTATCTCTATTTTTTCTCTCTCTTCTCTCTCTCTTTTCTCTCACATCTCTCTCTCTTTCTCTCTTTTTCTGTCTATCCTCTCTCTTTCTCTCTCTCTCTCTCATTTTCTCTCTTTCGCACTCTAATATATCAGGATTCTATTTGTACTTTAATGACTTTTAAGGCCAGCTTCGACCCACGCAACATTCTACATATGAGACAAGGATCAGCACCCCTTGCGGAAGCTTCAGGAATGTTAGAACAGTGTTCTCTTTTCTCTCCCTTTCTCTTACATCTCTCTTTTTTCGCTCTCTCTCTCTCTCTCTCTCTCTCTCTCTTTCGCTCTTTGACGTATCAGGATTCTATTTGTGCTTCAATGACTTTTAAGGTCAGCTTCAACCCACACAACATTCTACATATAAGACAAAGATCAGCACCCCTTGCGAAGGCTTCAGAAATGTTAAAACAGTGTTCTCCTTTCCCTCTATTTCCCTCTTTCTCTCATTTCTCTCTCTCTTTTTCTCTCTTCTCTCTCTCTTTTCTCCGCTCTTTCTCTCTCCTCTCTCTCTTTCTCTCTCTCTCCTTTCTCTTCTCTCTCTCTTTCTCTCTCTCTTGCTCTTCCACGTATCAGGTGTCTATTTGCGCCTTCAATGACTTTTAAGGCCAGCTTCAAACCATACAATATTCTACATATACGACAAGGATCAGCACCCCTTGTGGAGGCTTCAGGGGTGTTCTGCTTTGTAATGCATAGATTTTCAATGCGTGTCCCCTAAAAACTTGTAATGAGTTTTATGCGATCACTCCTCCGCTTGTTACGAACAGAAACCACATATTCCCAAACACGATATAGGGATGTCAATCAAAATTTAGAACTTGCTTAAGTTTATTTTTGTACCTCAACAGCTATCTTCCTTCTCTCCGAGAATCTTCATGCAGTTGGTTGCACAGGAAAATTGCTGCTGTCCTTTCATCATTTATGCACACAACATGTCCAGCCCAACGAAGTTGCAATCGCATTAGAAATGTCTCTATGCCTCCAATTTTTTATTTTAAAAACTGATTAATATTAAACATTTTGTCTTTAAGATTATAATTTCAGCTTGGGCGAAGGTACCACTTATGGAAGATATCAAGATGACGAATATAGTTCCAGTCAGGGGTACCAGAAGATTTGTAATAAATACAATTCGATATCTGGCATTCCACAACCAATAATAGAATTTTCCAAAGCTCTCTATCTCTATCTTTCTCTCTCTCTCTCTCTCTCTCTATATATATATATATATATATATATATATATATATATATATATAAATTGTACCTTTTCAATTTGACAACGGCCAGCGTTTCATACTCTTATTTTTAAAAATGGTTTTAAACAGAATAATATTATTCTAATTTAGTTTTATGATAATTCTTATTTTATTTTACGGCAATTTTGCTTATTATTCTTTTAGAAAAATGCGCTTTATACATAGGATATATATATATATATATATATATATATATATATATATATATATATATATATATATCCAAGAAAAGGTTTGGTGTATAAGAATAAATTCCAATAAGCAAAAAGAGTGCTCAATACAAAGTAGAACAACTCTTTTACATTCAACGCCATCACTTGATAAGACACTAGAAGTGTTGAAACAAAATGGCTATTTTTGTAGTGATTTTATAACACATTCATATTATCATTTTCGTATAAATTATATATATATATATATATATATATATATATATATATATATATATATATATATAATGAGGTAACGATATATATTTTTATATATCAAAAAATGTCTAGACAGCCCCGTAATCGCAAGGTCATCTACAGTAAATTTGCACCATGTCTCGTACAACAATTCACCATTATTGGCAGATCTTCTATCACCGCAGTGTGGGATACCTACTTAAAAAAATGATGGAAAGAAAAAAGAAAAATACTGTAAATGAATTCAGCTATATATATATATATATATATATATATATATATATATAAACTCAAAATTTCCCAGTATCACTCGTTCGTTCGCATGTGTAGTCACAAGTAAAATTTTTCCACTTTGTCATATTTTTTAAAATCAGTATCACCCCATGCAAAGGCAATAAAGCCACTAGAATACAAAGAGTCACGTTGTGTGGAAGAATTAGGAACAGAAACATTAATAATGAGCTGGAAGAGAAAAGAGTAATCAGGAGGACAATAGATAGCAATTGACATTGCATTTAAAATTTTGCAGATTAAAGCATGGACCGGGAAGGGCAAGGAAACTGTTAGCAGTTCTCGCCAGCAAAATTGTGAGAAGTGTGAGAGACACTAAAATGCGCAGATGCCTCAGGGAAAGAAGCCTAAAATCTAAGATAATGAAAAAAGAGAAACTGTTAGAATACATCTTACAGCTACATTTAACCAGCTCATCTGTAAATTGATGAGACCTCGACGAAGAAAGTATTACAACGAAAAATGCACACGACTTAAAAAGAGTACTTAAATGAACGGCAGTGCGATGAAGAAAGATGCCTTCCAAAAACAAAAAATGCGTAGAACACACAACAATTTGTGCCTCAGGATAATGAAAAAGAATCCTTCCAAAATCTAACAGCAAAAGTATTACGAAAACACGACATTAAAAAAAAAGAGATTTAATCACATTTTTTTTTTTTGGATGAAGAAAGAAAAAACAACGAATTTAAACAGTTATGCAATATGATTGCTTCTATATGGCAGTGAATGCTTGATAATGACTTTTAGAAAAAAAAGAGTATCAATAACTGCTAATAATCATTCCTCCTATATGGCAGTGAATGCTTGATAATCTCACAGATGAAGAAAGATGCCTTCCAAAACAACGAAAAATGCCTTCCAAAAGCTAAGCAAAGTATTAAGAACACACAACAATTTTGTTAGAAAGAAAGAAAAGAGTACTTAAATGTTTTATAATATCATTTCACCTATATGGTAGTGATGGTTGGACAATCTCCTCATAGATGAAGACAGATGAAGAAAGATGCCTTCAAGATATCAAACAAAAAAATGCCTTTCTAAACAAAGAAAAGAGTACTTAACTGCTAGTAATATCATTCCTCCTATATGGCAGTGAATGCGACAATTTTGAAGAAAGATGCCTTCAAAAACAACGAAAGATGTCTTCCAACGCTAAACTGAGCATTACGAGGCAGATAAGTTCCTTTGGAAACAAAGAAAAGAGTACTTAACTGCTACGTAATATCATTCCTCCTATATGGCAGTGAATGCTGGACAATCTCCTCACAGATGAAGAAAGATGCCTTCCAAAACAGCGAAGCAAAGTATTACAAACGAAAGATGCAGTGAATGCTGGACAAACGATGAAGAAAGATGCCTGAAAGATGTCTTCCAAACGCTTGAGTATTACGAGGCAGATAAGTTCCTTTGAAACAAAGAAAAGAGAGTACTTAATTCTCCTATATGGCAGTGAATATCATTCCTGAAGAAAGATGCCTATATGGCAGTGAACAGCGAAGCTGGAAACACGACAATTTTAAAAAAGAAAGAGTACTCCTCATATAGCAGATGAAGAAAGATGCCTTCAAAACAACGAAAGATGTCTTCCAAACGCTAAGCTGAGTATTACGAGGCAGATAAGTTCCTTTGGAAAAACAAAGAAAAGAGTATTAACTGCTACGTAATATCATTCCCTTATATGGAAATGCAAATCTCCTCAAGATGAAGAAAGATGCCTTCCAAAAACAACGAAAGATGTCTTCCAAACGTAATATAAGTTCCAAAGAAAAGAGTACCTGCTACGTAATATCATTCCTCCTATATGGCAGTGAATGCTGGACAATCTCCTCACAGATGAAGAAAGATGCCTTCCAAAACAACGAAAGATGTCTTCCAAACGCTAAGCTGAGTATTACGAGGCAGATAAGTTCCTTTGGAAACAAAGAAAAGAGTACTTAACTGCTACGTAATATCATTCCTCCTATATGGCAGTGAAGGCTGGACAATCTCCTCACAGATGAAGAAAGATGCCTTCCAAAACAACGAAAGATGTCTTCCAAACGCTAACTGCTATTACGAGGCAATAAGTCAAAGAAAAAAGTTTAACTGCTACAATATCATTCCTCCTATATGGCAGTGAATGCTGGACAATCTCCCCACAGATGAAAAAAGATGCCTTCCAAAACAACGAAAGATGAAAACGATGAGTATTACGAGGCAATAAGTTCCTTTGAAACAAAGAAAGAGTACTTAACTGCTACGTAATATCATTCCTCCTATATGATGCTGGACAATCTTCTAGATGAAGAAAGATCTTTCTTCCAAACGCTAAATGAAAAAACAAAGAAAGAGTACTTAACTGCTAAATATCATTCCTCCTATATGGCAGTGAATGGTTCTGAAGAAAGATGCCTTCCAAAACAACGAAAGATGTCTTCCAAACGCTAAGCTGAGTATTACGAGGCAGATAAGTTCCTTTGGAAACAAAGAAAAGAGTACTTAACTGCTACGTAATATCATTCCTCCTATATGGCAGTGAATGCTGGACAATCTCCTCACAGATGAAGAAAGATGCCTTCCAAACAACGAAAGATGTCTTCCAAACGTTGTTGAGTATTACGAGGCAGATAAGTTCCTGGAAAAAAAAGAGTACTTAACTGCTACAATATCATTCTCCTATATGGCAGTGAATGCTGGACAATTACAGATGAAGAAAGATGCCTTCCAAAACAACGAAAGATGTCTTCCAAACGTTGTTGAGTTCTATTAGATAAGTTCTTTGGAAACAAAGAAAAGAGTACTTAACTTTATATTCACATTCCTCCTATATGGACAACTGAATGCTGGACAATCTCCTCACAAATGAAAAAGAGGGGTGGTTCTGTTGTAGCTTGGAAAATCTTATATTCACAGGACAGACTGAAAGTAGTAGGGGGGGCAGAGGAAAGCAACGCGTAAACTGCATGGCAAGCTTTGAGTAAACAGATGACAGAACAGGGCTTAGGGGAGATAACAAAATGACAAAATTTATTAAGAGCTACAAAGGACGGGAAGTTGTGGAGAAACATTAATACATATTATATGACATACGTATATGTACATGCTCTTAGACAAAACACATACATTATTTGGAAAGCTTACACACACACATTAGCATCCCCACTAATGCATACACTTAATTCTTGACTGCAGCCTACCATCTTCCATCTCTTTCTGTCACTCTATCTCACTCACTTACACACACACACTCGCTCACACACGTTTTTTTTCTCTCTCTCTCTTCCTATATTTCTTCCTCTTTTTCTCGCTTTCGATATCTCTCTCTCTCACATTATTTATCTATCTCTATTTTCTCCTTTTCTCTCGCTTCCTCTCCCCCTCTCTCTTATACTATCTCTTTCCTTCAATCCTCTTTCTTTTCTCTTTCTCCTTTTCTTTTTCTCTCTATTTTGTGCTCTCTTTATTTTTTTCTATCTCTTTCTACCTCTCCACCTTTTCTCTCTTTCTTTCCCTATCCCTCTTTCTCTAGTTTTCATGCTCTTTGTTTTTCTCTTTTTCTCTCTCTTTCTCTTTGTCCTTTTTCTTGCGCATTCGCTACCTCTCTCTCTCTCTCTCTCTCTCTCTCTCTCTCTCATTCTCACTCTCTATCTCTTTTTCTCTCTCTTTATCCTTGTCTCTTTCTTTGTCTCTTTTCCTCATTCGCTTTCATTCTCTCTCTCTCTCTCTTCTCCTCTCTCTTTCTCGCTGTCTCTGTCTCTCTCTGCCTCTGTCTCTCTCCGTTTTTTCCACTTGGATTTTTCTGGAGACAACTTGTTGTAAATTAGCAAATTAACAGAGAAAATAAAAAATTAACAGCAATTTTAAAAAGGTTAAGCCTGAAAATAAATATAGCAATAAACTTGAGGCCGATGCCATATATTGTCTGCCATTCGGGTAAAAGGGTTTTGACCATAAATTATTTTTTCAACAAAACAGAATTAATCTAAAACTTTTCCCTTCTCGCTGGGAAAATATATGACCAATTCTTTAAACTAAAAGCCCAATAGAATTTGTTATTCAACTGCCATATATTTAAATGAATAACCTATATGTAGTTATGTGTTTCACTTTCTATGTACGTGTGTGTATTCATACCTATATAATATATACATATACCTACTCCCGTTTAAGAACACACATAAGGAATAGAATCATATGTAAGAAACTATATTCTTCTTCTTGATCTTCTTCTGTCTGCCGTGTCTCTTCAGGACGTGGGGATCATGGCTCTCCACGATATCTGTCCTTTGTAGCTGTTAGCAAATTTCGTCTTTTTGTTATCTCTGTTCTGCTACCCCTTTGCATAATCTCGTTGCTCCTTGCTTTCCCCTGTCCCTCTTTGCCTTCAAACTGTGAGTGTCAAACATTCTAAACCTTCTTTCCTCATTATGTGCCCGTCACAGCTGTCACTTTCTGATGATGGTTCAAAACATTATCACTGATCGGGCCCTGAATTTTCAACTGTCGTGTTGAACGGGCTTTCTCTCGGAAAGGCGCTTTTTGTGACCTAAACTCAAGCCAAACCTCAAGTACATACGATCCATTGCTAAAGATGCTGGGAAAAAAAATTTCCCATGACACCGCTCCAGTAAGTTATTTTCTGACTCTTCCCGCTATTCTAAATACTTTCCTTAGTTCCAAGAACCTCACTCTTAAGCCATATTACTCTTAAAATGGAGCAATGCTGTCATATTTGGACAGGAAGTGCCCCTGTCTGTACCTTTCAGTCTTGACAGAGTCCAAAAACAGCGGCTCTGCGTCTTTGTGAGTAACGACAAAATGGTAATAATGGCGTGACGTCCACCTTATTTTCCACCCCCAGACGACCAACCCCTTTCCCGGCACCCAAATGAAACCTTTGTCGCGGGCTTCTCTCGTCGTTCTATCGCTTCCATTTCCATGAAAAATTGATCTCAGACCGCCTACAAAAATTGATCTTAGTTCCAATCAAGTTCTAACCTTCGCACAAATTATAAAAGAAATCACTAAGATATAAAAAGGATAACAATACAATCTAAAAATATTTTCGTGTTTTAAAAATTTCTTTAATAAATTGGTTGTCTTTCAAGCCGTAAAAAAATCAATTTGGTGGTGTTTTTCTTAAGTAATTTGTTATATAATGGTGTCAGTTTACAAACTTTAATAATGGAGGCCCCAACTTATACTAACTGAACTGGAAATAATGGCTCCTTTGTCGCCGACAAAAACCGGGTAATAATGGCTCTCGTTTAAATCAAACTGTTTATTAATGGTTTTCAAGTTTATTTTTGGAGCTGTTAATTCTCAAATGGATATCTCACCATCTATAGGGGCGTCGAACTTCTTCGTAGCAAGTTCTTAACCTATCCTAAATGGGCGGCTTACCTCCTTTTCACAAACCGGCCCCCGTTATCATTCGGCTAATGGCGTCCAGCCGGGCTATCCAACTTTTGTTTTAGGAAGAAAAATATATATCTTGCTCAAAAAAAAATTACAATCTGTCCTAATCGCAGCTGGCATCTTCTCTGGCCGCCAACAGAACAATGCGACCACTGTGTGATAACTCAATTTTCATCTGACTACAAACTGGATTTTCGCCAATTATCAGAATGGGTGGTCGTCCACAAAACACAGTCGACAGTCGTCTCGAAAAACAGTTCCATTGTTCTACAAACTTTCTAATAACATAGCCCGTTATCACAACAAGTTGTTATAGATGTCTTGGTCAAAACGGCCAGTCTACAAAGGGTTGGCTATTAGCAGAATGAAATCCTTTCCCCGACAACATTGTTTGCCCCCTCTGACACCATCTATCCAAAGCCCTTCATTCCCTGTTTGTTTGTTTGTTGTTTTTTTTTGTCAATTGGATGTTTAGCTCCGGTCAAGGTTTGCAATTAGATGTTCTCCACATTAGTTGTTGCTTTACCCTCGAAACACAAGTCCCCACCAGAACATAGTCGATTTTCTTATCCATTTAGAATTTTTCATGGTAATCTTCCCCATTTGTTATCAAAATCATTGTCAATGTCCCCAAGTCATTATTTTTTTTTTATATCTCCTATGTTAACCTCTAAACCTCTACTTCGATTGACTTTTCTTTTTGGCTGATAAATGGTGTCACAAGTAAACATCATTAATAAAATAAATAAATAATTGTTTGATTAGATTTCAAACTGTATCAAATTAAATATATTTCAATCAATAATTGTATTCTTGAACGTTATTAAAACTGGTATTCTGTCGACAAACTGATAATACCCGTCTACAAACTTAATACCGTCTACATAAATTTTGGCTCCAGTCTAATTGTAGCCAACCACCTTCATTCCTTTCGTATTCCTTTGGTAAGATATTATATACTTATTTCCCTGCTTTACGGAATCGACTCCCAAGAGGATGCTTACCTGATCACTATAATCTTAACCTGTTCAAGTCTAGCGCCAAGCATTATTTTTTCAACATATCTCCTATGTTAACCTCTAAACCTCTACTTCGATTGGCTCTTAGGCCTTGTACAGGGTAAGCATCATTGTAAAATAAATAAATAATTGTTTGATTAGATTTCAGTATCAAATTCAATATATTTCACATTGTATCCTGAACGTTATTAAACCTATTCTGTCACAGGGAGAATATGAATTAATACAGAAATAAATTTTTAATACACAGTCAGAATATTATATACTTATTTCCCGCTATATAACTGGTAATAATGACCCAACTCTGCAAATTGTTAATAATGACCCCCATCTACAAACTGTTCCAGTTATTAACTGGACCGATAATAATGTCCGCAATCTACAAACTGTTATTAATGGACCGACTCTACAAATTGTTAATAATGGACCCATTTAAAAAGTGTTAAGAATGGCTCCAGTCTGCAAATTCGTATTAATGGCTCCAGTTTACAAACAGGTAATAATGGTTCCAGTCCTACCAACTAATAATAATGGCTCCAGACTACAAATTATTAATAATGGCCCAAGTCTACAAACTGTTAATAATGGCTCCATCTACAAAGTGGTAATATTGCTAAAAAATATGAAATAAAAAAGAATATGAACTAAAAGGTAATAATATCGCTCGAAATTAGAAGTTTGGTCACCTAATAGACAAACGAAGTAATCATAATAAAATTGAAGACTATAGAATACAAACAACATAACTCTGAAAACGTGTATAATCCATATATATATATATATATATATATATATATATATATATAAAATTACTAAAAATGTTAGATGAAATATAATAAATTTATTTTATTTTATCTAACTTTTTACTGTTGACAAGCTCCTGCGTAGCGAAATGGCCATTCTAATAGGTTGTTTTTGAATTTCATTTATTTGTAATTTATTTATATATGCTCTATAATAAATATATTGAGCTCTATTGAGTTTTAATACTTTATATTAGGATTGAATTGCATTACATGCCCAAGGATTTTACCTCTATCTATCTATCTGTCAGATGGATTTGGAGAAACAAAAGAGATTTTCACTATTTTTCATTATATTGCCCCTTCACGTCAATGCACTTGATCCAATGATGATGATGATATTGCAATCTCATCACGAAAGAAGTGGCATCCGGGTCCTCCAAAAACTCCTCCACAACACATATGATCTCATCATTGTTTAGAAAATGGAAACAACACAGGTGGGATTTGAGTATAGGAAAGAGAAGATGTCAGAAGGAGCTAAATCTGGTGAGTAAGGGGGTTTGGTGGTAATTTAAAGCCACAGTTGACTCGTTCATCTACTTGAACCTGAGTAGTGTGAATGGGCGCGTTATCCTGGAGCAAGGGCACTCTTCCCCTCAGCTTTCCTCTGCGTTTCGACTTGACTTCTTTTCTTTCTGATGCCGAGTACAGTCCATTAATAGTTTTCCACTTTACCAAGTATTCTGTCATGATTACTCTTTCAGATTACCCCAAGAACAGAAGCCATCACCTTGCCAACAGATGCTGCTTCCTTGAACTTGTTCGAGGGTGGAGAATCATGATATTTCCACTATTTGCTTTGAATCTTTGATTCAGGTTCGAAGTGGTGAACCCAGGTTTCATCTTGAGTTACTAATCTACGGTGGAAATTCTCAGGGTCAGTGTCCTGGAAATGTCAACCCTTTTCAGCTTCTCCTCTGGTGTCAGCATTCTTTGGATCCATCTTGCTGATAGCTTGCTCATTCCCAAGATCCCAGTTAAAACAGCATGAACCAAACCAGAACTAATGCCTATGGACTTTGCTATCTGCTGGACAGTAAGACGTCTGTCATACGGTGAATGACATCAACTTGTTTATAAGTCATTGATGTTTTTGGGCAACCTGACCCAGGGTCAGCTTTTGTGCAGCCCCTGCCCCGCTTGAGTTCTGCAGCTCATCTTCTTCACAGTTATATAGGAAGTGGGGTCCTCGGCAAGTGTCTGTATCATGTTCTCATGGATTTTCTTGGGTGTCATACCTACCTTTTACAGATATTTGCTCGAACCTATGTTTTGTCTATTTTTATATTTGCCACACACCTCTCACGTTTTGTATGGGTTTCACCTACACAGAAATTAAGACAGACATCTGAATTAGTTTTTCCAGTTCTATATGAAGTGGTAATGTGTTGACACAACAAAAATGCTCAGGGCTCTTCTTTATCCGTGGGGCTTAGAACTTTTTGAACGACCTTCATAGGAAATCAGTTTGGAAGAACGTACTCACGATGTACTTGAGTTATATGGTAAAGAGGATGATCAGAGACATGAAAAGCAAAGGTTAGAACAAAGAGAATCCATCTTTCTCAGCAGAATCCATCTTGCACATGTATAAATCTACCATTCATCTGTGCGTAAATATTGCTGCCTTATCTCGTCTAATGCTCCTGTTATATACCTTGAGATTTACAACAAAATCTTAAGAATGTAATGTTATTGGTCCTCACCTAGAACCAAAAATTTACTTTAACACCACCAAAGTTTTTCTCGTCAGAAAAAGAGATCCACTGTTGAGAAGTGTGAGAGAAGAAGCTGTTGGAGTAGAAGAGCTGTTACAGTTGATTGTTTTGAGAGTGATATGGTGGGACTGAGATGCTAACCTAGTAACACGCTTAAATTCATGCAGTTGAGGAACCAGTTAAAATAGACTCTCAGAGCAGTTACCATAAAAATATTTGTAGAAAAGACAGAGGGAAGCCACATCCAATCTGCGAGAAAGTGACTGGAGTCGAAATACCAGGTCAGGACCTATCACATTGCATATAGATAGATAGATAGATAGATAGATAGATAGATAGATCTAGTGAGCCAGACAAACCTACCTAGGTTTCACCTAAAAGCCTTACTTTCCATGACGATCCGCTTAGGTGAAACCTAGGTAGGTTTATTTGGCTCACTAGGTGTATCTAGGTCTGCTCTACGGTTGTATTGAGCGCTTTTGTTAGTTAGTTGTTTACTCGTATCGGGGTTTTTTCTTTGGGCTTCAAACCTGCATCTGTGCGATTTTTTTGTCGGCAGAAGTTCATGTTTGTAGCTCTTTCTTTTTTTAAAACTTTTTTTTCCTCGAGATTGATTTGATTATTAGCAAATCAAAATTCGAGGCTTTTTTCGAAACGAGTCTAGTTATATATATATATATATATATATATATATATATATATATATATATATATATAATATACACACACATACATATACACACACACACACACACACACACACACACACACATATATATATATATATATATATATATATATATATATATATATATATATACGAGGGAGATGCTGAAAAGATCTGAGTTTGGCGAATCGGGATTCTACCAAAGACATTTTATATTTGGTGATTTCGTAAGATTTTCAAAACCAGGTTAGTCCGATAATGTTTCAGCACCTCACGTATAAGTATGAAACGACAGAATTATCGATTTAACATTATTGGCTTTTTTTCTGAACTGTTCCTTACCAAATGATAGGTGCGAGTTATAAGCTGGTGTGTGTTATATGGCGGATAATACAATAGATATAAATTTCGTCCGATGAAGTCCTAAAGGACACACGACTACTTTTCCACTTTGTCATATTTGTATTGATGAAGCGTCATAACAATGATAAATAGGAGGAGGGGCGATTTTGAAATGGAAATGAGGAAGAAAGACAAGACTAGACAAAATAAATGAATGTGAAGTACAACCATTTGGACGTTAGAAGAAAAGAAAGTTGTTAATGTTAGGAGGGAGATCAGAATTATTTAATCATTAAATGCAAAGAAAGAAAGAAAGAAAGAAAGAAAGAAAGAAAGAAAGAAAATAAAATGGCGAAGGCAAAGAAAGAAAGAAAATAAAATGGCGAAGGCAAAGAAAGAAAGGAAAATAAAATGGCGAAGGCAAAGAAAGAAAGAAAGAAAATATATAACATAAATAAGAAAAATAATGAAAGATGAGGAAATTTAAAAATAAAAAACAAATAAAGGAAGGAAAATATATAACGTAAAAAAAGTAAAGTAAAGAAAGGCAAGGAAACTAAAAAATACGAAAGAAAGAAAGAAAGAAAGAAAGAAAGAAAGAAAGAAAGAAAGAAAGAAAGGAAATATATAACGTAAACAAGAAAAGTAATGAAAGGTAAGGGAACTAAAAAATAAGAAAGAAAGAAAGAAAGAAAGAAAGAAAAAAAAAAAGAAAGAAAGAAAAATATATAATGTAAACAAGAAAAATAGTGAAATGTAAGAAAACTAAAAAATTAAAGAAAGAAAGAAAGAAAATAAGTGAAGCTTGAAACAGAAAGTCAAGAAGAAAGAATAAATAAATAAATAAATAAATAAAAGAAATCTAAATAAAAAATAAATGAAAGAAAAAAAGAACGAATGAAACAGTGACATTCTGAGGTTTTATGATTCGTGAAGAATTAAAAAGCCAAATGGCTTTCATTGCTAAAATGAATTGAAACAGTTGCTATTTTTTTTCCATTTTATTTTATGCAACTTTCTATTTTCACGTATATTTACTTTGTTTATTTTTTTCCTCTAAGAGGGGAAAGAAACGATGTCTGTGTGTAAATGCAATAGAAAAGTAGTTAGACAAAAGGAGGGGGAGAAAAGCCACTTGGGGCGAATCACGTGAAGACTTGGGCGAGCTGCCGTGTGCAGAGGAAAGTTGGTAAACGAGGCATTTCTCTTATTGTGTCCGAGTCGAGAATGAACATGCCGCTGTTCGGTATCCCGTCGTTGTCGACGTGAAATGGCCATTGATCGCAGGAAATTTCATTTCCTGGCCCAACTTTGATGTCGGCTAAAGACCAGCTAAGGAAACACTAACCATAAAACACTTGCATACACGTTCGCATCGAGCAACGCAGAGAAATACGTTGGAAGAACATGGCACGAATCGATGCAGCGAAACAAAAACAACAGAAAGATAGAGAAGGTAGGAAGAGAAAAGTGTGAGAGGGAACACATTCGCACACGAATGCATATATATATATATATATATGTGTGTGTGTGTGTGTGTGTGTGTGTGTGTGTGTGTGTGTGTGTGTGTGTGTATGAATTATAAATAAGAAAGAAAGAAAGGAAAAAGAAACAAGAAAATGAAGGAAAAAGTAAAAGAAAAAAGAAGCTATCGAGCGTTTCACGTCTGCTTTAGTTAAATGAGAATATGGAAGGAAATAGAAGAAAGAAAGAAAGAAAGAAAGAAAGAAAGAAAGAAAGAAAGAAAAAAGAAAGAAAGAAAAAAGAAAAAATCAAAGAAAAAGTAAAAGAAAAAAGAACCTATCGAGCGTTTCACGTCTGCTCTAGTGAAATGGGAATATGAAAGAAAGAAAGAAAGAAAGAAAGAAAGAAAGAAAGAAAGAAAGAAAGAAAGAAAGAAAAAATGAAAGAAAAAGTAAAAGAAGAAAGAAGCTATCGAGCGTTTCATGTCTGTCTTTAGTGAAATGAGAATATGAAAGAAAGAAAGAAAGAAAGAAAGAAAGAAAGAAAGAAAGAAAGAAAGGAGTTATCGGACGTTGCACCTCGTCTTCAGTGAAATGGAAATAAGGAGGAAAATAGAAAGAAAAAAGAAATATAGCAAGAAAGAAAGAAAGAAAGAAAGAAAGAAAGAAAGAAAGAAAGAAAGAAAAAAGAAAGAAAGAAAGAATACAGTATTGACAGATGTGATACTGTCCTGCTTGCCTACAATGGAAAAAGCAAACTCCCCACATGAAAAAAATAGAGTAAGCCAGTGATCTATGCAGAGATATAAAGATGGTGAACAGAAGAGAAAGTGAACACGAAGAGAGAATATATATGCATATTTATATACATGTATGTGTGTGTATATGTGTGTGTGTAAAGAGACAATGTAGAAAGACGATTGCATACACATATATTCTAACTGCTTTCTCGTTTCCTGGCATAGCTATCGCTTAATAATGCCTCATTCCACAGTTTCACCAGAACGCAGCACGAATGTGGCCTTTAAGCTCAGCCAGGGACCAAACTCTCGGCCACATTGTTATTAACTTTCATTGATTTCGGGTTCTTCCATACATATATACATACATACATACATAAGACTATATAGAGAAATGCCTGTGTACTGCAGATAAGCGGCACATTCGTGAACACTGGCCAATATTATGAGTTCAATTCTTATATGCACCTCACATCCATGTCTGGGTTTAATAAATATTTAGGCACCCACATGAATATCAAACTAATCTCAAGCAAATTCATTATTGAATAGAGTTTGATTTTCACTGATCTGTCACTTTGGCTTTGTACTATCTTTGACACTACTGAGCTAAAATGGCTCGCTTGTAAAAAATTA